ATTATATGAGATAATTATATGAGGTACTGTCTTGCTCTTTCATGATTTAGTTTATTGGATTTGACTTCCACACTACACAGTATTACCTAGCACTACAAGCACGAAAGAGTGAAACTGCATGATTCAGTTAATAGTAATGTTAACAGGTTTGTCTCTGAGATATTATACAGTAATGTCTGACTTGTGCCTTAAGTTCTTTTCTTTTGTTTAAATCATAGAGCTGCTAAGCTAATTATTTGTGTTAACCACAAAAAGTCACAGAAGGTTAGGACTTTCTATACAAACTTAGTTTATGAGTAGGTGCCTAGTTAACTGTTCTCCAGCAATGCAAACTTTGATCAACAGGTACTTCTGGGATTGCTTGCTAAAATTTGTAAGCTTGATGTTTTTGGACCTGTCGTCATCACTTAAATTGAATAGATTCATATACTTCAATTTGGAAAATCAATGGTTTTATCTCCAAGTAAGATCATTCAGGGAGATAGTGAATCCAAGAACAAGTCCAAAAACTACAAAAATAGTGTTTAATTATTCTCTTGAGGATTTCCAGAAAAGACATTTCCACTCAGCATTGCTAATCTGAAGCTGTTAGGGTCAGTCATGCACTGTAAATACAGCATTAAAGACTCTTACATCAGGACAATATAAATGTGTGTTTAAAGACTGTTCAAGAAACACCATAATTTATAGAATTTTATTAGAAGAAGGAACAGACTGACATATGATTCTGAGTTAATCAACAGTTCAAAATCTAGGTGATAATGTTTGTGACAGGTGTCATTTAATATCGGGATAGACTTAACTAAGAATCCCAAGCTTTTAATTAATTAAGATGAAAGAACAGCTATCAGAAGGGCAGAGTTGTGGCCAATTTGTGCCTCATTGGTTTAAAATAAATAGATATGGCAGAAACTGGATCTTCTGTAACCCTTATTATTTAAGTTAAGTATGAGGCACTTATTATGGTTGCCTATCTTGTCTATTTCTATGGCCCATATCACCTTAGTATCTGAGTTCCCTAACTGACTGTTCAATTTGTATATTAAAAGGGATTTTTTAAAATAAATTATCATTTTGTATCACCTGTAATAATAATCTACAGTATTAGTTATTCAAATTATGCCATGTATATAAAATCTATTGTCAGTTTTTCTACAAAAAGATAAAATGAATCAATAACAATATTAATTACTCTCAATAAAGCATGTGACTGAAAAAAGTAACCATGTTGCAGACTATTGATTTGACAGATTGTAATGACACCTCTGGAGTTACTACATTCTGTTGTATAAATATTTATTAACTAATTAAAATTATATTAATTTATCCTGAGAAGTTGTTACAATCTTTAATATGAAAGCAGTGGCCTCACATCTATATAAAATCTATATGTTAATGACATTGTAAGATTTTTTTGTGTGGAAAATATTGTTGCACATTCATGATATGTGATTTTCTAATCAAATTATCACCATTGTTTTAAATTTTCTGATAATAGGCAAAGGCATTTTTCCACATGATGAATTATTGACCTGCAAAATTTAAATGTAAAATAGAGTCAATTTTAGTGAATGCAGCACAAATAAGTGTATGTAATGTTTGTACTAAAATTTTCTATAATTTGGAACTAGCTAAAGGAATTTTTGAAATTTTTTACTTAAAGTATTTTAACCTGAAATATTTTACACTAACTAAGCCAGGGGATTCAGTCCTGCAAGCCATCCAAGTGTAGAATTCCCATTGATTTCAGATGGCATCTTTTGTGTGGAAGGTTTGTAGGGCCAGGTCCTGAATTATATACAGTATATATAATGTTTACACAATGGCTGTGAACTTTATTTGGGCTTAAACACAAATAGGCTTGAAAATGTTTCTACAGCATCTTCCAAATAGTGAGGAATTATATACTAGGCCCAGTTCATATTTAGATATAAATGAGCCAAGTAAGATTAAGTAAAGTGGTTTTTAAAAGGCCCTCGGGGGCCCTAGAGCTGAAGCAAATTTTAACAAAAACAGAGTGTTGAATGGCTCTGGGAATTAGTAATGGCATACAGCACCTTTTATCTGTAAGTTGATTGTGACTGAAAGTCATTACCATCAGATAGCCTCTTAAGTGGCCTTTGTGAAATCCATTTGGAGGCCTTAGTCTGTTTCCTTGTGGGAAGGTGTCTACCTCAAATAACCAACAATCAAAATCAGTACTAATTGTTTCCTCTTGTTGGCAGTTGCATCAACAAGGGTGAAGATTGAATAGGACATGGAGACTGAACTTTCCTGTTGTTATGGTTCCTCCGGGTTGGGGTTTAATCACAATTGACCGAGTTGTACATGTGCAAATTTGCATTGCCTGTGCTGTATCAATTCTGTGGACTAATAGAAGTCTTCAAGATTGTCAAGCCAACATCTTTCATTCACTCTTACTTGAGTTAAAGCCCTCACCCTCAAAGTCTTCTATGGGACATTGTGCCACCAACATTCTAAATCCTACATATCCTTCTGAGGGTCACAAAATTCCTAAAGTCTGATTCCAGTTTATCCAGGGTCTTCCAGGGATGGAGACAGCTGCACTTCCTAAGCATCCATGGGGCATCCTTCAGCCTCAAACAACTGTATTTAAAATCAATTTCTGCTCTGAAAATTAACTGTAAAAATAGCACTTGTTATGAAACTGATCTGCTTCCTGCATGTATCCAGAGTCAGATCTGCTTTGTCACTAACATGACAAAAATAGACTTATGCTGCATTTTACACCTGTTAGTCCTGCAGCAGGGCCAATGCAGACAGGTATTGTAGAGGGAGATGGTATCTGTTTGTTTTCGCACACCAACAGAATTGTTAACTGAATTCCAATTGGAGGGTCAATTTTTACCCTCAGTTACATCTGTGAAACTCTCACTGAGGATAATAGTAATTAAACGTGTAACTAAGGAGATAAATTTGCTGCCTAATATTAATTTCTGGTGATGATATGTAGGAGGGTAGGTCTAAGTCTACAGCACCGATAATTAGTAAAAAGCCAACTTTTTACACTTACATATTGAGCAAACAATAAAATTCAAACTTAACTAAGCCATTTTTATAGAGTTGCTTATCCAAACACTACTGTACTGTAAATAAATGTCTAAATAACACTCACTGCAGTTGAAAATTGCTTTCACAACAGCTTGGAAAATGAGGCTGCCACTTATTCCAAGGAGGCTACATAGTTTAACTAGATATTATGAGAGACTTTGGATTGACCACATAAGATCAGGGAAATAAAAGGGATAAATGCCAATTTGGGCAGATTTGAGGCATGTGGACTGCCCCAGAACATTCTCCTCCTCCTCTACCGCTAAATACCTTTTTATTTAGGTCCAGGCTAGGAGTCAAGACACCTCCTGGCTCCCAAGGATATTTTGGAGCTACATAACAAAAGGTAGGCTGGAGGAATGGAATCTGAGACAGAAAGTTCTTTCTTCTCCATCTCCAACACTGGAGAGGATGGCTTTAAAAGCATGGTCTAGTGAGTGGTTCTCAAACTTGTACTGGTGACCCCTTTCACATAGCAAGCCTCTGAGTGCGACCCCCCCCCTTATAAAAATTAAAAACACTTTCAAATATATTTAACACCATTATAAATGCTGGATGCAAAGCAGGGTTTGGGGTGGAGGTTGACAGCTCGTGACCTCCCATGTAATAACCTCATGACCCCCTGAGGGGTCCCGACCCCCAGTTTGAGAACCCCTGGTCTAGTGGATAGACCAGTGGTCTCAAAACTCTGCACTCTGCAGGTCACTAACCTCTGTATGCCCAGCTTTCGCCATCTGTAAAATAAAAGTAACAATACTTGCCTATCTCCAAAGGGTTCTTGTAGGATCATAGCTAATACTTTCAGACTTGGTTGCCTAAAATTAAGCATCAAAATCCATATTCAGGAACCTAACTAAAAGCCTTAAATTTATTAGATGCTGAGCACTCAGCCATTCCCACTGAAATCAATGGGAGTCAGGCACTCGGGCCTCTGGAAAGTAGGCCACTTTTAATTAGGGGCCTGAGTATTGAATAAGGTGTCTAATTTTTGGCAAACAAGGCTGAAAATTTTGGACTTCATTGTTCATAAAACATTTTAAGATCCTCAGATGAAAGGTGATATATCAGTACAAAATATCATTACTAATATGTTGAAAAGCTTTATTTTAAAAAGAAGCAAAAAAAAAGATTTATTGAGTAAATAACTGGAAGTTGAAAAAATATGTTTTTTTTCATTTCAGTAATAGTGACCACACAGTTTAAATTGTATTCCTCTTCTGACAAGTGTGATCAAGTAATATTATACCTAGACTTGGAAAGATTAGATTTTTACTGGTAACTGTCTGTAAACATCAATTTCACACCATACACATACAAACCGATGGAAAAATATTTAAATTGATATTAATAGAAACTTACTGATAGACAAAGTAAGAAGAATGCTGCTTGACAACTTAATAGTTTGATTTAAGGGTATTATTTTACATTATATATGTTGACATATGAAGTTGACAATTTCTGTTTTAGTGGTTATACAGCTTTAACTTTTTGACTCTCAGCGTCTATTGTCATAAAATAATTGTCTGACCTGCCCATAATTTCTTGCAACTGTGAAAATGTAAATAGATAAAAATTGAAAAAATGCTTAATATCCATAATTTTGCACAACTGTGAAAATTAAAGTAGATACAAATAGAAAAATACTTAAAAATAAACATTGATATTATCCGTCAAAATAATAAAAAATAAAAATTGAATTCTGCCAATTCTAATTATACATTGATTGTTCTGTAGTATAATAGATTCATTCTTGCCAACAAAAACGTACTCTGAAAATTCAGTGGAAGCAGATACTAGTGTGTTTTAGCTACTGAAACCTTTTCTGATAAGTCTAGAATCCATGATGGAGTTGTATAATGTTTAAGATAAAAAATGTCCACTATGTTATAACAGTACATGAAGTGAAATTTCTATCTTGTTATTTACAGGTACAGACTGTTCAGACATCATTATCTGAATCTCCAGTGATGACCAGCCCCTCTCAACGCATCCAAATTATCTCTACAGACTCTTCTGTAGCTTCACCACAGCGCATTCAGGTAAAATCTTTAATTTAAATAACTCAGTCAATGGGGCCCTTATTATGAAAGCAAACCTCATTCAGTTATTGTCCAGTACATAGCCATGTACAATATGTTTGAGAACTATAGTGAGCTCTTGTTTTTAATGTACCAGATATCTTTCAGTGATTAGAATTCAAAATGACCTCTACAAAATGGAGAGAATTGGTATGCATTCAGCAAGATGAAATTCAATAAAGATCAAGTGCAAATTACTTCACTTAGGAAGGAAAAGTCAAATACACAATTACAAAATGGGGAAGAACTAGGTATGTGATAATACTGATGAAAATGATCTGGAGGCTATAATGGATCACAAATTGAGTATAAGTCAACAATGTGATGCACTTGAGAAAAAGGCTAATATTCTGGGAAGTATTAACAAGAGTGTCGTATGTAAGACATGGGAGGTAATTGTCCTGTTCTACTCAGCACTGATGATGCCTCAGCTGGAGTAACATGTCCAATTCTAGCTGCCACGTTTTAGGAAAGATGTGGAGAAATTGGGGACAGTCTAGAGGAGAGTGACAAAACTGATAACAAGTTTAGAAAACCTGACCTGTTTAGAAACATTAAAAAAACTGGCAATTATTTAGTCTTGAGAAAAGAAGACTATGGAGGGACAGACTTCAAATATGTTAAAGGCTGTTATAAAGAGTACTGTGATCAATTGCTCTCCATGTCCACTGATGGAAGACAAGAAATAATTGGTTTTATCTGCAGCAAAGGATATGTAGGTTAGATATTAGGAAAAACTTTCCAAGTATAAGGGTAGTTAAGGTCTGAAATAGGCTTCCAAGAGAGGTTGTGGAATCCCCATCTTTGGGAGTTTTTCAGAACAGGTTGAACAAACACCTAGTCTAGGTCAGGGATAGTCTAGGTTTACTTGGTCCTGCCCCAGAGCACAGGGTAGTACTTGATGACTTCTTAAGGTCCCTTCCAGCCCTACATTTCTAGAATCTGTGATTCTATGATTGTCATTTGTAGATAGGCACTGAGAGTTGTTCTGTGGTGTGTGTGTATATATATATATATATTTTTACCTGCAGTTTTTGCCTATATATTCCCTCTAAATCTAGGAAAGGAAAATTCAGACAATTTATGCCTCTTCACTGTCTTACTCTCTAGATTCTATCGCTATGGAAGGATTCTCCTTTGCAGACATATTTCTGGTTAAGTAACAATAGCAAAAAACCTTTTTTATCTAGCAGATCTACAATATCAGTATATATTTCACCACCTCATCATAAGATTTATATTTCCTCAACATGTATGATTGAAGAATACTAGGACATTCTGAAGTTCATAGTGCAGATCCTCTCAGCATAACTTTAGTTTTGGCCCACGTGGGCAGAACAATTAATCTTGTTCCTCATATCTCTACTGCTTCTAAAGGAACCAGTCCATGCTGAGGGAGAACCTGGAATGGGAAAAGAACAATTCCCATCTCTAAAAAATTTACAGGCAACATCACAGAGGTATCAGTTTTGACCCCATAGACAAGATTTCAGTGTGACTTCATGCTACCAGCTAAGATTTTCAATATAAAACACTGTGATGGCCAGTAAGAGCTCTGTGGAGCAGCAAGATAGCCCAGAGATCTTTTGCCTAGTGAGCTCCTTAATTATCATACTTGGCTGTTCCATATGCTTAGATTTTTTTTTAAATGGTGATGATAATATGTTTATTTGATAAGGATTAAGTGTTCTGAGCTACGAAACTTTATTCACACAAGTGGTCAGATTAGCATAGAAGCCATAACTGTAAATTAACTACACACACACAAAATATTTTGAAATTGATATTTATTTTTAACCAAAATAGAAGAAATCTCAGCTATAGTCATGAGGTGGAATGCTTTTAATTTTCTGTCTCTAGTATTGTGTGAACAACACCAAAAGACAAGCCTGAGAGCTTAAATTCATAACTCTGCTAGACACTAAAAATGATGGACTCAACAGAGACACTGATTTATGCTTTATTACAACAATCTCTAGCCCACTAACCTCCTCTTTTTGTCCTATGACTGCAGAGGTGTTAACGGGCCACTCTACCTCTAATGGTCCCTTAGAAAATATGCTAACTGCTTATGCTAAACAATCTGTTCCACCTTGCATTTAGCTGTGACACTCAGGCCTTGGCTACATTTGGGGATTCACAGCGCTGCCGCGGCAGTGCTGTGAAGCACGAGAGTAGTCACGCCGCCAGCGCTGCGAGAGCTCTCTTGCAGCGCTGCAAGTACTCCACCTCTCCGAGGGGGTTTTCACACCCCCGAGCGCAGCAAGTTGCAGCGCTGTACAGCGCCAGTGTAGCCAAGACCTCAGAGTACTTTCCCAGACCCAAAGAAGTGTTGTGTTTGCTCGAAAACTTGTCTCTCTCACCAGCAAAAGTTGGTCCAATAAAAATATATTACCTGACCCCCTTGCCTCTCTGTCTCTAGTATTGACCAGAAGAGGCTAGTTTCACAGTTTACTAATACGTTCCCCTTTTTCAGAATGGATGAGTTTGACCTCATATAGTTTTCCAAAGTATTTTTACTTTCACTTTTAATTCTTTAAGCGAGGAAACTTTATGATTATATCAGATTAGATTTTCTGTGTATGTGTACTGGATATATGCTTGGTCATACATAGCCATGTACAATATATTACATATTTTTCACTTAGGTGAACATAAGAACCTTGGTCATTATACTTCATTGGTATTCATTTTATACTATTCGGATCACATACGAATATAAGAATGGCCCTACTGGGTCAGACCAAAGGTCCATCTAGCCCAGTATCCTGTCTTCCAACAGAGGACAGTGCCAGGTGCCCCAGAGGGAATGAACAGAACAGGTAATCATCAAGTGATCCATCTCCTGTTGCTCATTCCCAGCTTCTGGCAAATAGAGGCCAGGGACACCGTTCTTGCCCATCCTGGCTAATAGCCATTGATGGACCTATCCTCCATGAATTTATCTAGTTCTTTTTTGAACCCTGTTATGGTCTTGGCCTTCACAACATCCTCTGGCAAGGAGTTCCACAGGTTGACTGTGCGTTGAGTGAAGAAATACTTCCTTTTATTTGTTTAAAACCTGCTGCCTATTAATTTAACTTGGTGACCCCTAGTTCTTGTGTTATGAGAAGTAGTAAACAACACTTCCTTATCTATTTTCTCTATACCAGTCATGATTTTATAGACCTCAATCAGATCTCCCCTTAGCCATCTTTTTTCCAAGCTGAAAAGTCCCAGTCTTATTAATCTCTCCTCATACGGAAGTCATTCCATACCCCTTGAGATGGGGTGACCACATCTGCACACAGTATTTATATGGATGGATTTATATGGTGGCAACATAATATTTTCTGTCCTATTATCTAACCCTTTCTTAATTATTCCCAGCATTCTGTTCGCTTTTTTGACTGCTGCTGCACATTAAGAGAACTATCCACAATGACTCCAAGATCTCTTTCTTGAGTGGTAACAGCTTATTTAGACCCCATCATTTTATATGTATAGTTGGGATTATGCTTTCCAATGTGCATTACTTTGCATTTATCAACATTAAATTTCATCTGCCATTTTGTTGCTCAGTCACCCACTTTTGAGAAATCCTTTTGTAGTTCTTCACAGTCTGCCTGGGTCTTAACTATCTTTAGTAATTTTGTATCATCTGCAAATTTTGCTTCTTCACTGTTTACATATTGGAGACATTCCTTCTTGACCTGTTTAATGTGATTTACCATAGTCCAGCTACTTCCTCACCTTTCATATCACCAGTGCTTCCCATTCCACAAGTACCCTTCTCTGCAGAAGCACTATGTATACATAAAGGCCTGATTCCACTGCCTTGCACTTTGTGTCAACATTTACACTTATTTTGCACAAGTATAAATGACTATGTAAATTGCAAGGCAGTGAAGAGCCATTATCAGATAATAAGATAGAATTCTGAGATAGAACCAAAGATTTTAGAATGTTAAATCTTATATTATGCCTTATAAAATCCTTCAACATTTGTTGCAGATTGTGACAGATCAGCAAACAGGACAGAAAATCCAGATAGTTACAGCAGTGGACTCATCAGTGTCTCCGAAGCAACAGTTTATCTTGGCCAGTCCAGATGGAACTGGAACAGGAAAGGTGATATTGGCAGCACCTGAAACATCTAATGCCAAGCAACTTATCTTTACCACCACTGACAACATTGTACCAGGCAGAATTCAGGTAAATACAATAAGTAAAGCAGGCTATCCTCCTTCGATTATTGATTTAAATAGATTTAATTGTATAATAGCTCTAAACCCCTAGAAGTTTTGATAGTTTTCTAAAAGCTAAACTTCCTGTGTACATATTTTTTAATCCGAAAACCTTCTGTTTTGAATCATAATTTTATTTAGTGTCTGTGTTTAATGGGATGATTTGGGCATTAAAATACAGACAGACCCATAAAAGAAACAAAAATAATCATGTTATATTCAGCACAAAAACAGTGGAAACATTGTACCAAAATAAACAACAATTCCTAGGATTTAACTTGAACTGTAAGTGAATATTTAAAGATGAGACCTTGTTTCTTTCCAGTACTACAATGGTCTGTAACATATTATAATACACTGATTCTATGCCCCAGTTAATAAAAGCCAATAAAACCAAGCACTGTACTAGTATAACCTGAGTCCTGTATATGGTTGAAAGTTTAAACCAAGCACTGTACTAGTATAACCTGAGTCCTTTATATGGTTGGAAGTTTAATTTTTTAAATTAATAAAAATAATTAATTTAAAGCTGTTTTTTAAAAAGCTTTTTAAAAACTTTGTCAGTGAGATTAATTTTGTCAGGATTAACTTCTTTGTTGATACCATGAAAAAATTATGAGTTTATTGGATTATACTCCCCCACTTCCTTCCTTTCCTCTCTCTTCCCTTTTCTTCTCTTTTAGGTTTAATCCTGCCTCTGATTTATTGGTATGCAAAGGGTTAAGGATGGACTATTTTCATCCTGTATTTTGAACTGAACAGAATTTTATATTATTGCATTATTTAACTTCCTTTCATATAGCACTTTGTCTTGCCAAGCATACTTGTTTGTATGTTCGCATCATTGAATGATATCCCCAAAGTTCTAAAACAGCAGTGAGCAACCTGTGGCCCATGGGCCGCAAATTGCCCGTCGGGGTAATCCACTGGCAGGCCGTGTTTACATTAACCGTCTGCAGGCACGGCTGCCCGCAGCTCCCAGTAGCCACAGTTCACTGTTCTTGGCCAATGGGAGCTGCGAGAAGTGGCGCGAGCCGCAGGGACATGCTGGCTGCCATTTTCCGCAGCTCCCATTGGCCGGGAACGGCAAACCGCGGCCACTGGGAGCTGCGGGCGGCCGTGCCTGCGAACAGTCAATATAAACAAACTGTCTCATCTCCTGCCAGCGGATTACCCTGACGGGCCACGTGCGGGCTGCAGGTTGTCCACCACTGCTCTAAAAGGAGTGTGAATGAAATAGACCTAATGTGAAGTGCACAAAACATTGTGGGCCAAGTCTTCAGCTGCTGTAAACCAGCATAGCTCCATTGAAGTCAATAAAGTAATGCTGATTTATGCCAACTGAGGATCTGGCCCTCTATTTTCATAGGAACTACAAAACTAGTGAATATACTTTGTTTATGGTGTCTAAAAAGAGGAGTAATAACTTAAAAAAAACTAGACAGACTTATTTTTCAGAAGGCTGTGTTCCCTTTTGTGAGCAAAATTTGTGTCCACAAAATTTGTACCTTCTTTTTTTTGTACTTACACTTTATTGCAGGTATGAGTATTAGCAGTTAGATGTTTAGCTATCTGATTTACAACTCCAAGTGACCAGTTAGCTCTCCAAATGATAATATTTGCTCCTGCGGTGAAGTGCATTGTCACGCAGTGATCTACCTTTGTGAATGGCGTCAGAGGCTCAAATTCAGTGAAAGGGGAGGAGCAGAAAAAAACTCAGATATTATTTATAATATATAAATTCCTTTTTCTTATTTAGTTTAATCCACTTTGGAAGTTGATTAAGCTAAACTGGAAAAAGGCACTCTTATTCCAGAATAAAATTACCTATATGGGGAAGTTATTCCAGTATAGCTATTACACTTAAATTTCTTTATTCTGCAATAACTTCTCTATGTAGACAAGCCCTGAATCTTTGAAGGCTAATGCGGGTCTCTGCTTAAGATGATCCCCAATCAGGAATAAATTTTTCAGTTCTGAATCAGGCCTCTACCTAAGCTAAACTCCCAGACTGGACTCTGTCTTTCCAAACTGCAACAGGCCTCTGCCTAAACCAGGCTTCCAGACTAAATTTAGGGGCAGATTTATAAAGGTATTTAGGTGCCTACTGGGATTTACAAAAGTGCCTAAGCAGGTTAGATGCCAAATTCTATTGCAAGTACTAGCCTGCAAGAGTTAGCAATGCTAAGCCAATCAGTTGATCTGAATATGAAATCTCTTAAGAGCTTGATTTGATGTGATATATCAAAGCAACACCTTAACTGTTCTGGCATTTTGTTTTAGATTGTGACAGACTCTGCTTCAGTGGAACGTTTGTTGGGTAAAGCTGATGTCCAGCGACCACAAGTAGTAGAATATTGTGTTGTTTGTGGAGATAAAGCATCAGGTAAGCAAATATACTCTTGTAACAGACATGTTACTAGTAAAGATGGAGTGACGATGTGTTTATGTATAGTGAGAATAGTAGTTGAGACTCGGTCAAAAGAGGATGAATTTACAGTACAGAAATGTGTTGGCTATCACCACCTATGGCTGGTATACTTGTGGTTTGAACACAATTGTGAACAAGTAAGTTAAATGACATGATACTTGACCACAATTATGGCAAGCTGTGCTTGGTATCAGACTAGTTAAACCCTCCTTGAACCAATACTAGTCTGAACTCCAATATTGGCAAGAAAACATTCACTTTTGACCAGTTAGCAACAACACAGTGTGAGGGGTGGAAGTGTCAGGGAGCCAGCTGCAGCATGGTCAGTGTCCTAGCAACACACTGGACACAGCTGATCCTAGTGGGGCGGGGGAGTGGGGAAGCTGCATGATTGATTGCGCTTCTTGATTGGTGCAGGGGAGAAGCTACCTATTATTTAACACAGCAACAGAGCTCGCTGGGTGCTCGATGTGTTCCATGTCCACAGCTGAGCATGTTCCTGCTTCCTACCCAGCCTGCTCTTGTGACTGCTTCAGCCCCTGCCCTTCTCCATCCTGAGCACCCCGGCTTCCTGACCATATCTCTGGCTCACCCATTGGCTCTAGCATTCGACTTTTGATCCCTGTCACTGACCATCAGCTCTGCTCTTAACTACGGCCCCAGTGTATCCTATAATCCTATAGACTCCAGGTTGGCTCCACTCTAATCTTCAGGCCTGGCTACCTCCATGGCTCCAACCATTAGTCCTGACCACACACTCCTGTCCCTGAGAGTAAGTTTGGGGTCCAATGCTCTTTCATTTCCTGGGCAAGCTTGAGCTGAGAGTACAGTGCAGGGAGTTTGCTCAACTGGTCAGTGAGCACTTTCTATCCATTCAACGCACTAAATGAGGTGGGTCCTGTGAAAAAAGTAGTATGTGATCATATAATTAAAGGTAGTATCATAATGCATACGCAAAGGGGTCTGAATTAATGTCGCCTAGACAACCTTTTTTCTGGAATTTCCTATGTTTTGAGTGATTGACTTGCAACTTTAATATTCTTTTAATGTCGTTTTTGCATGTAATATCCTTTATATATTTTGTATCCATGCATGTGACTTCATTAGCAATTATGTAGCTACACTGATGGACTCCAAGAGGAACCATTAGTCCTGGGCTGAAGTGGGTGTTGCCATTATGCATACTCTTCAAGGATGGTGGGAAATGGGCTGATCCTGGAGGATCTCCTGAAAGAAATGCAAAACAAAACTATGACATCAGACTAGAATTGTGCTTTCACCATCAGTGCCTGCAGATATGAGGAATAACCAGGAATATAAAACAAATCAAGGTGTGATTTGTCAATAGGCTCTGCCTGCTATAAATAAAATGTTGGTATTAATAATATAAATCATTTCCTTGTGGTAACCGAGCTGCACATGCATTCCCTTTTCCTGTAGGTCGTCACTATGGCGCTGTCAGTTGCGAGGGATGCAAAGGTTTCTTTAAAAGGAGTGTAAGGAAGAATTTGACCTACAGTTGTCGTAGCAACCAGGACTGTATCATCAATAAACACCATCGGAATCGTTGCCAGTTTTGTAGGCTTAAGAAATGCCTAGAGATGGGCATGAAAATGGAATGTGAGTGTTCATTACCCAAACTGATACTTTGTCTACCAAGTAATAAATATGTAGATGATCAGTACAGTTAAATATATTTTCAGTTTTCTATCTTTGTCCTTGTGAAACACCAAGTTCTAAGACATCTGCAATACTTTCTTGAATACAGATCAAGAAGTATCTTTGTTACAGAATTTTTGTCATCCCAAATATCTGCCTCACGTTTTCTTCTCTAAACCTGTTATTTGGTTCACTTTTGTAGAGGAAGTTCAAGCTACAGCAATGAATAACTTTGAAATCAATCTCTTATGTGTGATATTATAAGAAGGGATATATAGAACTTCACTTTTAGTGCATTTTACAAGTACAGTGTTTGTAATGGAGAATGACACTCCTATTTTCTGCCTGTGGCACATGTTTGTGTGGTTTCTTGTGGGTTGTAATGCTTTGGTCTAGTTTTGGTTGTTGGGTTTAGTGTGTGGATATTGGGTGGTGTTGGTGGCTTGTGATATACAGGAGGTCAGACAAGATGATGTTCTGGTCCCTTCTGAAACTCTCTGGCCTCATTTGGGAATAACTTCTTGTGTATGGATAGATTTGTTTTGCTGTCAGATTTGGGGCTTATTTCTCCTGTTATAGAATAATGTACCATAAATCCCACTTGCTGCAGTTTTCCCATTAAATAAGGCATGTTACGTTCTGTGAGATGAAGTGCAATGTTCTCTACCTTTGTGGCATACTATTGCGTAACACTGTACTTACCCCAAATTTGTTTTATTAAAAGAAAAGACATAAAGCTACGTTTTATATTCATTGCAAATATTATTCCAATACCTTCTTTACAAGTTTGGGATTATTTTATTGTGAATATTATTTAACTCTAAAGTACCTGGAGTCAAAGGCTGTCATCAAAGAGTATACAATGCAGCTTAAGAGGGAGGTGCAAAGATGTCTTTAAGACATCTTTGTGTTCTCTTGGTCCTGGGCTAGTTGTGTGCCAGTCTCCCCCTCCATGTAAATTAGAACTGTCTGAAAACTGCTCTGAATTTCTCTACCTGCCAGTGAGCCTAAAGGGCTGTTACACCATCTGGGATCTCTGAGGCACAGGGAAGCACCAGCCACGGCCTTATCACTGGCAATGCCCTCTATGCCAGACACAGGTGGCAGAGAAGCTATTATGATAGCTATACACCATAACAGGATCCTTCTACCTTGGGATGGGCCTCCCATGGCCAGCTGTAGGGCTCTTTTGAGCTGGCAGTTTAAAATGTCCCAATGCCACTTTTAGCGGCAAACTGCAGATGCTGCTGCATTTCTAGAGGTTGATCCAGGGTCCACTGTGATCAGTTGAAAAGATTCCCATTGATTTCAGTGGACACTGGATCAGGCTTCTGGTTAATAAGTGTGAATTATTTGCACTGGCAATCATTGAACTTAATCCAGTGTTAATAAACAATACAGCAAATCCTTTCTATACAAGGTACAGTATTTATATCATGTTCATAACCTAGTTTCAGGGCCTTATGATTGCTAACAAACATTAGGATAATTTTCTCTCCATCCCCAGTCAGTTGGGAATTTTTTTTTATTTCTAAATTTTATTTTTGTTAAGGTGGGAAGGCTAGGTGGAAGAAAGTTAGATTCATGAGGCCATGAAGAACTGCTTTATAGCTGATTGCTGTATGAATGTATGACTAGTACAATAATACTAGAGTAATGCTCTGAACTTATATAGTGCTTTATATTTTATATTGTGCACTATATGTATATATAGTGTTGTACAAACATTAAATAATTCTCACAACACCCTTGCGAAGAATATCAGTTTTAATATCCCAATTTTTGAGAAAATTTTTCAAGTGAGCACCATGTAGTTAAATGACTTGCCCAAAGCCACACTGCAAATTAGTGGGAGGAGTTCATGCCTGCCAGTCCCATGTATAGTCCACTCAACTATGATGACCCAATATTTCAGGGGAATAAATTCCATTTTCTTTAAAATCACAACATTAATGTCGTTTTCTGATTCTTTTGCTTGAGATACATCCATATCCCTTTTAGAACCTTGAACAGTAAGCCTTTTTCCCTACACTTTAAAACTGGAGGTATTTTTAATCCTGGAGAGATTTTTTTTTAGGAGCCACTAGACCTTCTTAACTGGCTAGATGTGTGCATTACCTTTAAATCATTTACAGATCCACTGTACCTAGACATTAAACGCTCTTCTGTCATATAGCAGTGCAAACATTTCCTCTTAGCCTGTCTACCCTGCTATGAATTTTAGCATTGATTTTTTAAATAAAATGTTCAAGAAATATCATTGGTCTAAAATCTACATATTTCTTTCCTCAAAATCATAGTGTGAAAATGTGTCTTCCTGAATGCTTAACTTGGTTAAATGCAATGCAGTAGCAAGCTCTCACCCCAGTCCCACTTAAAACTATGATTAGTCCCATTGATTTCTTATTTAATAAACGTGATTAAGTGCATTGCAACACTGGGGCCTATGTCTCTTCAGTTATCATACTGAATTTCCAATATTGCATTGAACTGAAATGAGCCAACACGTTTCATGCAAACTGAAATCTTGCTTTAAGATTTTCCTTTACTTTAGTTTTTGGATGAATTATTTCCTTTCAAATCTGTATTTTTCTATTCTGATGAAGCGGTTCAGAGTGAAAGAAAGCCTTTTGATGTGCAACGGGAGAAACCAACGAACTGTGCAGCTTCAACTGAAAAAATCTATATCAGGAAAGACCTAAGAAGCCCTCTCATAGCAACTCCAACATTTGTAGCAGATAAAGATGGCACCCGGTAAGTTTTTAGGTGTAAAATGGGTCTGTTTAAGACTAGAGTCTTGTGGAGTCAGTTTTATAAACAATGGACTCCAGGGGGAGGTAGGATCAGGCCCCAAAAGTATGGCCTCTTTTTAAATTCTAGAATGGAAGTTTCCTTCTTACGTGATGGTGGTTATTCTTTGAGGGTTCAGCTATTTCCAAACAAATAGGCATGGAAATACATTTGGATACAATAGTAATGTACATACTATAGTATATACAACTATATATCCTAACATAGATAGAAAATAGCAATCTAGCTTAAAGGCCACATTTTCAAAAGTAGACACAATTGTATGCACAATTTTTTCTGGTACAAGTTTTGTGTGTTCTAGAGCACAATTAATATGTGCAGATAGTATTTGCAATAAGAATTGTGGCATTTAGGAGTCTGAATATCTGATGCACATATGCAATGACTTCAAATAAAAATGCCATAGCAGTTTGGAAGCCTGGACTGGAAACTCCTTTGAAAATTTGCTGCTAAATATTTGCATTTGTGTTATGTATGAAACTAAGTGTCTGATAAATACTGTGGTCAAACACATTTTGTTCTTTTATATTTTTTTTTCTGTTGCACATGCAAGATGTGTTCTCCTTCACAACCCTAATAACCACATTATAATCAATAAGTAGTATTATTAATATCATGTATTTGTTATTTATATAGAACCGTACATTTCCATAACATAACACAGTTGAACAATGCATGACAAGTTCCTGGAGTTTACCATTTCAGTGCCAGGCCTGAGATGATAAACTCCCTGAGGCCTGAATCTGTCATGCATTATTCATCTATATTGTGTCATGCAAACCTATCATGCTATATAAATAACAAATACATCATAATTATACTTATTGACTACAAAGCACTTCACAGATCAGGCCCTAAGTTATGTATGGAAAAGGGAGAAAGAACATTAGACAAGGGGCATGGTAAGAGCAGGACAAAGTTTTAAGTAAAATTGGGATATGTGGTTTTATGTAAACATTGTTCTTTCTTTATCTCACTTCTTCATCTGATGTGATCCTTGTCTTTGCCTTGTCTCACTTGGAATGCCACTTACTTGGGGCATGATCTTCTGTAAAGTGCCATGCAAATTTACATAGCTAATAATGGCTTACTGGTTGTAATGAAGAAGACGACACCTGCCAGCATGACAGAAGAAATCAAATTGAAAAGCTAATGAGAGGAAAATCAGGTTGAGAAATCACCAGCACTTTAGCAAAAGAAAGAAAGGCATTCATTTGCAGTGGCAAAATCACCAACCCTCCAGTTAAAGTGCAGTTTCTTCCAGGACACACATTATTTTTTGGAAATAGTTTTCAGCAGGACCAAATTCTGATGGATAAATTCTCAACATCACAAAATGGAAAGCCCAATAAGAGTAATCCTCATTATACTGCACTGAAATAGGTTCACTCTTAGATTCTTTACATGTCTGAACAGGTCAACGGGTCTTCTTGATCCAGGAATGCTTGTGAACATTCAGCAGCCATTGATACGGGATGATGGTACAGTCCTGCTAGCTACAGACTCCAAGGTAATATTCCTTTCATTTATTACAAATCTTACATTTTATTTACTAAATTATTTTGAGTATGTTTTTAAAAAGAAATCCTTCTGACCCCTTTGCAGTCACAAAAGGTCCTTACCTCAGCCAAACGGTTTCTGTTCCACTGCAAAGGGGTAGAGGGCATTAGAAATTGGAGAGACCACCACAGTGCCACAAGTGCAAAGGAGGGCAGGTCTAGTGGCTCTGTCTGTGGGGATTCACTCACTAATTATTGTCCCCTGAGGAGGAAGATGGAGTGGGGAGGCTGCTGCAGGCAGCCCTAAGGTTGTTGCCTTTCTGTAACATGTAGCTTGAGATGGTAATACCACCGTGCACTGAAACAAATCCTATATTTTGGGAGAGATAGAATGGATGATCTAGAACAGTGGTTCTCAAACTAGGGCCGCAGCTTGTGTAGGGAAAGCCCCTGGCGGGCCAGGCCAGTTTGCTTACCTGCCACGTCCGCAGGTTCAGCTGATCGTGGCTCCCACTGGCCGCAGTTCACCGCTCCAGGCCAATGGGGGCTGCGGGAAGCGGCGCGGGCTGAGGGACATGCTGGCCGCCCTTCCTGCAGCCCCCATTGGCCTGGAGTGGCGAACTGCAGCCAGTGGGAGTCGCGACCAGCTGAACCTGCGGACGCGGCAGGTAAACAAACCGGCCCGGCCCGCCAGGGGCTTTCCCTGAACAAGCGGCAGCCCTAGTTTGAGAACCACTGATCTAGATGATCTTTTCCATCTTCAACATACCTGATTCAGGGAGACATACCTTTTTCCCCCAGATATAATTATGCATGAATTTAGGTTGATAACCCTGTAGTTGATTCCATCACAAAAAAAGCCACCTGGAAGTCAGAAGGGAACGTTTTGGAGAATTTAATGATCACCCTTACCCAAATGTCAACCACTGTCCTTCACTGTGGATATTCAGGAGGAAGTGAAACCTATGTGACAACAGAAGAAGGAGATACAGAGGATTGAATAATTATGAAGTGATTACATTACTTACAGCATTTCACCTAACTATATATAATTTTGATCCATTAATATGGTTTCTTTTTTTGTAGGCTGAGACAAGTCAAGGTGCTTTAGGAACACTGGCAAATGTTGTAACATCCCTTGCCAGCCTCACTGAGTCACTTAATAATGGAGATACTTCTGAAATCCAACAAGAGGATCAATCTGCAAGTGAGATCACTCGGTATGAATTTACTTTGGCAGCTTATATGGAAGGCGAACCTATACATTATAGGTTCATGCCACACTAGTAATGACCTTTTTAACTCACTGTATAATTTCATTAATGGTCCATGTTTGGCTACTGCCATCGACCTGAACTTCTGCCACTCTGAAGAACTCTTTTCATTCATTTTTACTGTTATAGATGCTCTCCCCTATTTAGTAACAAATGCAGTATAATAAAGCAGGGCTGTATTTCATATTTAATAAATTACAGGAAAAGATAACTGGTTTGTGACACAAATATCTTTCCTTCAAAAATGCTGAAAATCAGTAACAGTTTTGTGTTATTTCAGTTTTTTACTTTGAGTGTGCATGTGTGTTTAGTGTTTGTGAAAGTAAGGAAATAATAGCTACAGTGCTGTGTCAAGTATAGTACAGGCAGATGGTGTGCAAGCTTCTCCCACACAATTGTCATGAACTTCAGTCCTGGCCTTTAATGTCTCCAGATTTACTCTTAAATTTTCCCTAGGACAAGGCTGACAATATGGTTTGTAATGTGGAAAAAATTGGGATTAGGTTGACATCAATAAACCTTGTCTTTTATGGCAATCCAAGGCAGAATTTGAAGCCCAGCTCTCCAAAGTTATCATCTCAATCTCTTGTTTATTTCAAAATCAGGAAACGGGAGTAAAATCTTGCAGCTTCATTTTTTTAAATTGTTTTTCCCCTCAAAAATGGTAATATGTAATGCTAATGTATGAAAGATTAGATAAGATAAGATAAGATTTTTAAAAACAGAAGCTATTTTTTGACTCCTAAATAAGCTAACTGATTTTTAAAAGTGCAGAGCACCTGGCTGCTTCTGCTGATACCAACTTTATACTTTTTAAATCTGGGTCCCAAAGAATAAATAGTTAACGTGTAAACAGATTGCTTGGAAAATAGTTGCATAACAGCATTATGAAATACCATAATGTGAATATGAGTATGAAATGGGCTCAATTCTCCTCAAAGTCTGAGCTCCAGAGCGGAGTTGTGGGGTAACCTCAAGGAGCTGGTTGCATTTTCCTGATTTTGCAATCTTATCCTAGGAACCTATATGGAAAAGATGGGATAGGACTGCTTTAAAATCCAATTTTTTCCTGTTTTCATACATTAGCATTACATATTACCATTTTTGAGGGGAAAAAAACAATTAAAAAAATGGAGCTGCAAGATTTTACTTCCCGTTTCCTGATTTTGAAATGAACAAGAGATTGAGATGATAACTTTGGAGAGCTGGGCTTCAAATTCTGCCGTGGATTGCCATAAAAGACAAGGTTTGTTGATGTCAACCTAATCCCAATTTTAGTTAGAAAGAAGCCTAGGGACTGCTTAAATATATGCCATTCCCAAAACATCCCTAGGAGACCGTATGCCAGTGGAGGATCCTTGTAATGAAGCCTCAAGGTGAGAAAGAGGAAGGTGGGTGAGCAGTGCAGGAGCCACCATTACTAGAATAAGAAAGAGCAGCTGGTGCAGGGCTTATGCCAGGGGAGAATTCCCCTCTGCAAGGGAATTTTCCATCAGACATATATGTCCAGAACCTGCCTGGCCCCTTCACACTGCCTGAGCAGAGCAAAAGAACAGAGTGTATTGGAGAATCTGGCCCAGAATCTGTGAGAAAAAGGTTTCTGGCTTATCTTCTAGATGGAAAAACTTGTAGTGTTTGATTTGCCCTCAACTCCAAATTTGTTAATGGTTATAAGAAAATAAACTTGTATTGTTTCTTCATTTATTTGCAGGGCATTTGATACTTTAGCTAAAGCACTTAATACCACAGATGGCACAGTAGCTCAGAACTTGGCAGATGGGATGGATCCTACAGGAGGAGGGAATATTCATGTAATCAGCAGAGATCAGTCAACACCAATAATTGAAGTGGAAGGACCCCTACTTACAGATACACATGTCACATTTAAGGTGAGTGCTTCCTCAACTATCTTTTTGGCAAAGACATAACTTGGAATGATTTTAGTATTGTGTTTTTCTTCTATCATTGTATTTTGCCATAGTCAGTATTGTCTAGTATACTAGCTATTGTTGTTAAGGACATAATAAAATATTTCCACATTTCCCTTGCACTCTGTATCCTGGAGCACTGCATATGCACTCTCCTTGGGACCTGTCAGTTGACAGTGGGATGATGTTTGTTTTAGATTTAGATCTTACATATAGCACTACTGTGAATCACTTGTAGTGTTAAATATAACAAATAATATCAAATGTGCAATTCATATACATAGTTACTAAAAAATATTTTGAACTCTTGACTTCGGCTATTTGAGGCATCCTCACGTCAAGGATGTTGAAATTTGGGACATTTTTTAAGGATTACAACTATGTTCTTTATGATCATTATTTGGCGAACTGTTGTTATGGAATTGCAGAAGGGATTGCACTTTGAAGCAGCTGTATCTTCAAGTGAATATGAGCAAGCACCTCTTTTAGATATATTGTATGGGAGAAACCAATAAGGATGTTCCTTCTTGCTGTCAAAGTGCATTTCCTTTAAGCAGATAAAAATCATCAAGATAGTGAAATAAGCAATGTATAGGAAAGCTAATCTGTGTACTTCAAGTAAAATTGTGTTTTTTGCAAGTGTAGATTCATATGGCATGGCTTTGCCAGGATAATATAGATTTTAAATAAGTTGCAATTTTAAAGAATTGCACTTAGTTTAAGATCTGATACTCATCAATTTTATAGTAATTGTGAAGCTAATGATGCTGCACGCAGTAATGAAAATTCAGGGATAAGTGTTGTTGAATTAATACTAAAGTACTTTTACAGAACCATCCCATTTGGTTTCCCATATTATTCCTTTCACACTTCCCCATACCCAGCCTGTTCTTCTTACCACTACTACTGAGTTATGTGCTGAAGTTTTACTAATCTAACTCCATGATAAATGGCAGTTTTCAGCAAAAGTCTCTGAATGCAGATTGCATGTTTTTATTCAAGTTTATTTCGTTCATAATAAACATTGATTGATGTCTGACCTGTACAGACTATACCGTACTCTTATTTCCGTGCAGCTAACAATGCCTAGTCCAATGCCAGAGTACCTTAATGTACATTACATCTGTGAGTCAGCATCACGACTGCTTTTCCTCTCAATGCACTGGGCTAGATCCATCCCTGCTTTCCAAGCACTTGGGTGAGTGAATATTTTTCTGTTGAGTGATTATTTAAGTATTAAGCTGAACATTTTGCAACTGTGTTGATTTTTAAAAGATAAAGTTAATTAATTAGTTTATAATAAATTGTTTTAAATGTATAGGGACTATATAGCATTTTTCTACATTTTTGAAGAATATGAAAAACAAGATGACTGATGATGATGATAATACTTGACATTATAGAGGGCCATGAGGCTGTATTGTGAAATTGAGTCAAAAGCAAGCAACTAATTTTTGGACATATAACTTGGCATAGATAATCTAAGATCATTTCTCATAGCCAGTGCATCCAGCCTCAAGCACTTTTGTTGCTGTTTTTTTTTAAATTTCTGTTATTTGTCAATATCTGTCTGTTACTATAGTGACCAGAATACTATCGTTATAATATATAACCATAATTTTCCACATGTCAGACCTATAGGATAATACCAATATGAGTTTAATACTTGCTAGAATTGTGTGTTTGATTTGTGTCTTTATAGACAGGACTGTAACACAAGCCTAGTTCGTGCCTGCTGGAATGAGCTGTTTACCTTAGGCCTAGCACAATGTGCACAGGTGATGAGTCTATCTACTATCCTAGCAGCTATCGTCAACCACCTGCAGAACAGCATACAGGAAGGTACGTGTTAGGTCATGATAGGTATTAGGTACATGTTAGGCAGGTATGTGCTACTTTCAGCAGTAAAGAGTTAAAAACCTGTGTCTGTACATTTTTTTCACAAAGTATATTCCAAGGGAGAACAGGTATTGTTCCCCCTGAGATCCAAACACAGAAGGAAGGAACCCTCCACTATTCCTGCACAGAATGTAGGAGTCAATCTCACCAACTTCACAAAGAGCTCTCCATAGTTCTAGGCTACATCTACACTACAGCCGGGATCCATGCTCTGAGATCGAGCCACAGGTGGTCGATTTAGTAAGTCTAGTGAAAACATGCCAAATTGACAGCAAATCACTCTCCAGTCGACCCCCTGTATTCTACCCCCGATGAGAAGAGTAAGGTAAGTCGATGGGAGAGTTTCTCCTGTCAATCCCCTGCAGTGTAGACCCCGCGGTATCTCGACCTAAGATATGTCGACTCCAGCAACGTTATTCATATATCTGGAGTTGCATAGCATATGTTGACTTACCGTGGTAGTGAAGACATAGCCCTAGAGATAAATGCATGGGGTGGAGCCCAGGCTAGAGGGGACACATACAGTATCTCTCCTTCCTCCCTTTCATCCATCTGAGAGTCTACAAAAAAAGCTGATGCATCTTGAAGCTACATTAACTTTTCTGTGATCTGCTCTTATGGAGAGTTCCAAACGAAGCCCGCACTCGGGGTCCCTGGCAGTGCAGAGGCAGAACGGGAGTCCAGGAAGCTTAGAAGGGCACTGGAGTTTGCTGATACAGAGTTTTAGCATAGATGGTCTTCTGTGTCCAGCAGATTTCTCAAGATATGGTCTGAAATCCGGCCCACCCAACAGAAGAATTCAAAGGATGCACTGTAGAGTGCACACCATAGAATTTTCCTCCCATCCTAGAATTTCATGTGGGTATTTTTCTTTGCTGGAGGTGATGAAACACACACACACACACCACAAGTTGTTTACAGTTACACTTTTGAAAGAGTTGCTGACCATCACTGCACAATTATTACTGCAAGTATATTACACTACCAAAATATAAATATTTAATAATTAATTAATGGCTATGTCACAAAGTTATATAAAAAAGCTCAAAACAAACTGCCTCTTGCGTCATTAAGAAGATAGGTATCTTTTTTGATTCGGTGTTAACCTGCTAATTTTTATCTCTAGAATGGAGGATGATCTGGTACAGTTGGATTTTTTACAGGGAGGATTATGCAAATTAATATGATTGATATGGGTAACTTTTTCTTTTTTATAAATGGGGGAAATTATTTTGTCTGTAGAAAAAAAATCAATAGTGACAGCCTGAAGTCTGCAAATACAATTTATCTTTACTTACAGAAGTAGAAGAACCAGATGTATATGTAGCCAGAAAATTACAGAATACTACATATGTCATGAAACTAGCAAGGATTAGTACCAGGATGAAGGTACAAAGATAAATACATTTTAAAAATCTACATAAACTGAGTAAATAGCAAACCATGAAAACAGTTTAAGTTTCAAAGTGACTGCAGAAAATAGTCACAGTTAAGGATAGGCAAACCTCAAATGATGTACCCTCATTAATAATAATAATTTTTATTGGAAGGGTTCTTCCATGATGTGGAGAGCCCTTAGATACAATGGAACCAATGTAATTCCACTGTTAATGTGAGGGCAACACACAAAGGGGTCAGGATTCTGTGTGCTCTATATTAGATCCCAGCACATCATGGGGTTTTGCGGGGATGATGGAAACGCAAAACCAAAGGATCTATGACCATGTTCACTGGACATTTTTTTCCCCCTTCCCTCCCTCACATCAATGAGGAGGATACAGGAGCTGCAGAGGTCAACTGCAGTTGCAGCTCTGAGGTAGCTGCTGTAAATTAGAGCAGCTCCTGAGGCTGTTCTAATATATTCCAGGAGCCACTCTTGCCACCAGCCAGTTCAGAATGTAGGCAGTAAAAAAATGTATTAAAGCCACCTTTGCCACGCCTCTCCCTGGGCTGTGCCTTCCATGGGTGCCTCTTGGAAGCTGAGCACAGAATCTGTCACATGATTTTTAAATTCTGTCAATTTAATTTCTTAATAATAAAATGACAGCCATAGCTTACAAACTGTCTACAGCAGGGGAAGGCAAACTACGGCCCGCGGGCCAGATCCAGCCCATCAGGGTTTCAATCCAGCCCGCGGGATTGCTAGCCCCATGGCGCAGCGAGGCTAAGGCAAGCTCCCTGCCTGCCTTGGCCCCACGCCACTCCCAGAAGCATCCTGCACCACGTCCCTGCGGCCCCTGGGGGGGCAGAGGGCTCCGTGCGCTGCCCTCACCTGCAGGCACTGCCCCCTGCAGCTCCCATTGGTCAGGAACAGGGAACTGCGGCCAATGGGAGCTTCGGGGGTGGTACCCGCAGGTGAGGGCAATGCACGGCAGAGCCATCCGCCCCACCCCCAGGAGCCACTGCCGGACATGCTGGCCACTTCCGGCAGAGGCTCAGGGCCAGGGCAGGCAGGGAGCCTGCCTTAGACCCGCTGCCACCCCAGAGCCTCTTGAGGTAAGCGGTGCCGGGCCGGAGCTCCCACTCCAAACACCTCCCACATCCCAACCCCCTGCCCTGAGCCCCCTCCTGCACTCTGCACCCCCAAACTCCTCCCACACCCCAACCTCCTGCACCCCAACCCCTTGCCCTGAGCCCCTTCCTGCACACTGCACCCCCTCCCACACCCCGCACCCCAACCCCCTGCGCCAGCCCTACATTCATGGCCCTGCATACAATTTCCCCGCCCAGATGTGGCCCTCGGGCCAAAAAGTTTGCCCACCCCGGTCTTCAGGTGCAATATGTTATATATTTTTTTAATTTCCCACACCATACATTTGAGTTATCAACAATGTGCATTTTTTTCATGAGGTTTTTTGCTTGGTTTGGGGAGAGGGGAGAGGTTTGTCTGGAAGGGGGAAATCAGCGATTACAGCACTTACTGATTTAAAATGTAATCCTTTCAAACCTAATAATCATAGGCAAATCCTACCCCCAAACCAGTCCCTCAAAACACAACAAAACAAAACAAAAAAAGGTGGTGCTCTACTGCAGTGGTTCTCAATCAGGGGTCCAGGGCCCCCTGGGGGGGCCACGAGCAGGTTTCTGGGGGTCCTCCAAGCAGGGCCAGCATTAGACTCGCTGGGGCCCAGGGCAGAAAGCCTAAGCTCTACTGCATGGGGCTGAAGCCAAAGCCTGAACAACTTAGCTTTGCCGGGGCCCTATGGCATGGGGCCCCAGGCAATTGCCCTGCTTGCTACCCCACTACCGCCAGCCCTGGCTTTTATATGCAGAAAACCAGTTGTTGTGGCGCAGGTGGGCCGTGAAGTTTTTATATCATGTTGTGGGGGGCCTCAGAAAGAAAAAGGTTGAGAACCTCTGCTTTACTGCACAGAGAAAGGGGAATGATGTGAAGAGGCCATGGAGGTGGGCTTGAATACCCTGCATTCCCTGAAGAGTGTGCCCTTCAGGTTTTCTCTGCATCTGAGAGTGGAGGGGGGCTTGAAGATGAAGGATTAGGTTACTGCCCTGCAAGGGTTTGGAGATTATAGCAGCTGCAGGAGCCGTAAGGTGGCATTACCATTCCATAGCCAGAGTGAAAAGAATTCCATTGTCAGAACTGACCCTTCCAGACCTCCTCAGTACCTAGCCTTGTTACTTGGGATTTGCACTGAGAAGAGGATTTGGCTCTATATGAGGTCATGTTATGTCACTCCAAGGTACTGACATAAGGGTATCAAGTTAAGTTTTTTATTATTATTTTAAAATGGTGAAGACAAAACACTAGAAATTTATCTAGGAAGATTATGAGTATCGTAACCATTCTGGGAAAGTCTAGAATTTTAGCTGTTTTCCCTGTGTACTTTTGCACTATTGTTTCCCATACATTAAAAAAATAAAAATGTGATAGCACCTGCATCACCCTGAATAATCACAATACAAGAATCAAAGTTTATCTATCTTAGAAATGTTGTTATATTTTCATTCTTGTTTTCAAGACATTATGTAAAAATGTCTAGTTTTTTCTTTTCAATTTTTTATTGTGGTTGCATAAAATATATACAGTAATCCTAAATTACATCAAAAATCCAGTTTAGGACACATAGGGCTAAGCAAATCTATGCAGCCATTAGCAGTACAGATGAAGGCAAAAATATTTAAGTTATGATATGAAATATAAGTATTAGAGGTCATACATGGAGTAACGTTTTTTTAATTTGTATTTTTTCAGCTGAAAAGTTTGATATGTGGTAGGTTTCTTGATCTGACTTATCTTAATGAAGTTAATTAATGGAAATCATGTGTCCATATATCTGTCTTAATATAATCTCATGTTTCTGTCTGTCATATTTCTTTGACTGGTCTACAAATATGCAGTCAGGGGAGGAGGAAAAGGAAAACTGTTTCTCATTTTCTTACCAAAGTAGGAGTCTTTTCTTCCCTTTTTAGCTAATGCTTCCTGAAACAAAGTGCCCCTCATATATCTCCTCTTAAGGCTCAACTAAAACTATGGAACTTTAGAAAATTCATAATTGGTGTAGCACTTTCCAAATAAACATTTTTAAACAGAAAGGAGATGAAGCCAACACAAAGGACGTGGTAATATGAAAGGCTGAGGGATCAACCTGTGTGTAACAGAGTTAATTCTACTCCACAAGAGGGGAAAAGGGTACATACTTCAGTGAACAAACAGTTTTTTCTAAAGGAACAGATATGGAAAAAGGTGGCACAGTCATATTGCATTAGCCTTTCACTTCTGGACAGCCAGACTGACTCCTGATTGGGTCACAAGTTACAATAAGGTAATTCGATAGTTTGCACCTAATCTCTCACTTTTGTCCACCTCCCCAGAACCCCGGTTTAATTTATAGCACCATTCAGCACATTCTGCTTAGAAGAAGCCCATCACTGGAATAACATGGGTGTTGCTGGTTAGGGTTTAGATATATTGGCAGACCTTTGTGGAAAAATATTGCATTATGTTTGCCAGTACTGTGCCTGACTCCAGTTTATTAGATCCTCAGTCCTCACTTCCATGAGTATTAATTCATGCACAATATATTTTTATATGGTTTAAAAAAGTTTATAGTACAATTCAGAAGGTTTAAAATTTCATTTGATCTATTCCTATAAAGGGGATGGGTGTTGGTTTCGTTAATTTTTCAAATGTATTTGAACTCTCTTAAGAGAGTATGTAATGTCTGTTTGTAGATAAGCTTTCCGGAGACAGAATAAAGCAAGTCATGGAACACATCTGGAAACTTCAGGAATTCTGTAACAGCATGGCCAAGCTTGATATTGATGGATATGAATATGCATACCTTAAAGCTATAGTCCTCTTTAGCCCTGGTAAGGCATTTGGCAACCATTATAATGACCTTCCCGTGTTTCTAACTGCAGTTCAGATGCTGAACTTACAAAATATTAATCTTTTGGCACCAGGAGATTTTAAAGAGAACCAAATATCCAGTGATGAAGAGACTGTTCTACTGAGTTGTTCATAAAATATCTCACAGCACCATAAAACTTTAGCATCAATAACCCCTTTTAAAAAATAACTTTTGGGGCACCAAATGTAATTGATTTAAGCCTCCAGAAATTCCACATATTTTATACATACTTACATATATTTCAAGGCCAGATTCTCAGTCCCCCAGCCCTTTCCCAAGCTGCTTTGTGATACTCGGGCAGCACAAAGAAGCCTGAAAGCTGCTCTAATAGTGCAGCTGGGGATTATCTTGGTGTGAGGGGATCCCTGAGTGGCATAAAGCTGTGCTATCAATTTCCAACCCCTCCTCTGTGGATGGGTCATGTCAGTAGGCATGTGTGACAGATGACTGTGAATTTGTCACATTTCGTTTAATATGGAATATAATTAATGATAAGAATGGTATGGGGAAAGAGATCCTCTGGCTATAATGTGAGTTGAAAGTCTACTATGGTTTAGAAACATCCTCCAATAAACACAATATCCCTCCTCTCACCAATTTATTAATAAGGACAATGAGGATAAGAGCTGATAACTAAAAAATATACAATGGACATTGTGTATGAGATCTGAGGATTTCCTCAGAGAGGACACCTTTGTCAGGGGTATCCATAGGCATATCAAAGTACAAAGTGATGATCAGGCAGGGGACGGGGAGTTAAACGTTCCCGGGACATTGAAAGGGTAGATAAGAAGTGCTGAGTGAGAGGGAAGCTCTCTCTTAGAAATGTAGGGCATTTACTTTTATTTCCACTGTAACTAATTCTAACATATCTACCTCACTGAGTTTTACAAAGTATTCAGAGTAGGGATGTCATGCAAGCCTTTTCTTTTGCTTTAATATTTTCTCTATCTACTCTTATTAAATCTTGTTTTAATTAGATTAATTTAGGATCTTGGACTGTTGCTTTGGGGAATTTTTCAGACTGTGCCTTGGGTTTTTCTGTAGTAATAGTAATACATAGCTCTTATCTATGAGCTTTTCATGAGCAGATCTCAGTTCTTTACAAGGAGGTACGTTTCATTATCCCCATTTTACAGATGGGGAAATTGCGCCACAGGCAAGTGAAGTGACTTGCCCAAGGTCACCCAACAGGCTGTTGGCAGAGCAGAAATAAAACCCAGATCTCCTGAGTCCTAGCTCAGTCTCTGTCCACTAGGCCACACTGTAAGAGATGCTTCTAGCTGATGTGGGAGGAGAAAGACTCCAAGTATAGGCCTGCTCTAGTCCTTTTTAAGAGAGAGCAAGAAGGAACATGACACTTGTGGCCCTATGAGCCTGTCGCTGAAGAAGTTTTTGCATAGCCACACATGGCATTTTCTGCCCTTCTGATTATTTGACTGCTCAGTGATGAGCTGAAAGCATCTGGAATTGTGACAACACAAACCGGTCAAGGTTTGGAAGTCAAAATCTTGAAAGCAAGAAATTGATTATTCTGCCTAGTGAGTTCAAACAATGGAGGGAAACCCATTTGAAATGAGAAGGAGCAGAAACAAATGATTATGCCCTCAAAAGCTGTCCACCCTGTAGCATGATTGGACCCACTGATAGCAGGTGTGCACTCAGAATTTATGCAAAAAAACCAGGAGTACTTGTGGCACCTTAGAGACTAACAAATCAGAATTTATGTGCTCCCAGTTCTGTGGGCACAGCCAGCTGCAGAAGGAAACGTGAGTGCACTAATTCTAAAGCCAGGAATGAAATTTTAGCCAAATACACGTATTACAGGACCAACAGTGAGCAGAAAGTACAATTACAACATCAGCCTATATATTAATGAGCAATGTCTGTTCATATTACACACAACTCATAACAAAATCATATTAGTTAAGCATGTGTACATAAATGATAACGTTATGCATTGTGTCTAACACATTAGTTTGCAAATAATTCATTTAATAACATATATACTAATGTCTTTGAAAATAATATACATAATCTCAGAATGATTTATTGAGATTTAATGAGGTACTCCTTACTGCAACTATCATATCAACCATGGTACCCAAGAGGAAGAGTTGAATGAAATTAAGTAGAAGATTCTTTGTAAGTACTCCTGTCTTATTTTATGGTGAAACCATAGACATTTGGAAATGTTTTATTTCTTTAGATCACCCTGGTCTGACGAGTTCAAGCCAAATAGAAAAATTCCAAGAGAAGGCACAGATGGAATTGCAAGACTATGTCCAAAAAACCTATCCAGAAGATACTTATAGGTATTTATTTTTGATACCCTGAATAATTCCCTGAGCAATGGTTGCAGCATAAAGACATAAGAATGTTGTTACATTTAGTTTTGTGGGGACTGCACATTTATAAAAGCAGACAGGTTTAGTTTAAACAGGGCAAGAAGCAGGATTGACTGCCTGCAATTTTTTAAATTTTATAGAGACTGGTGTAGGTATGTGGGAGGGAGTGTTGGAGGAGGTTCTTACTATTTTTAAGTTAGAAGAGCCAAATAGTCTGAGACCATAAAAGGGCTGAACCAATTCCTGTCCTTATAAAGTTTAACAGATTATGTATGGTAAGTTTCATGCATCTGCAAACTACCAACATATAAACCTTTGAAAACCAAGATTTAGATGGGGAATAGTAACTAAGACCCTTAAGCTTGTAATTAGAAGAAATTCTACCTACCTGTGTTTTTGTTTTTTCCTCCATTTTTTAATTCCCAAGGACATTTGTCTGAAATGTTGGTTGCACAGCATTTCCTTTGTTTCCTAATTACTTTGGCTTTATCCCTGTGAAGTGAATTGCGGCACTGAAAAATAAAAATCTTCTCCCATGCAGTTATACTTCTTAATAAAGAATGAGGAAAGGGAAATTTATAAAGGGCCAAATTTCCCAAAGACTAGCCTCCATTTTTGTGAGTGCAGTTGGCACCCTCCTGTTCACTTGTGGGTGAATTCAGAATACCTCTCTCATAGAGCTGGAAGGGACCCTGAAAGGTCATCAAGTCCAGCCCCCTGCCTTCACTAGCAGGACCAAATACTGATTTTGCCCCAGATCCCTAAGTGGCCCTCTCAAGGATTGAACTCACAACCCTAGGTTTAGTAGGCCAATGCTCAAACCACTGAGCTATCTTGCACTTCTAAATAATTGATTGCAGGCATAAATCAGGCAGAGGAAAGTATTCAAATTTATGGCTACAAAAAGGGATGCCAGACTTCATATCCCTTTACTAATGTACCTTCACATTTACAAGAGATGGTGTGTTAGCAGAATTGGTTCTACACAGAATGTTTTCCACAGCTAGCCATGAATCATCAATGGGTCTCTCGTTTTATTACTAGGGGGCTCTGCTGTTATATACTTTAAATAATTTCATCAAGAAACTCATTTATTTTGATTTTTTTTTGTCATGTGATCCTGCTATTTAAACAAGGTAGATATGCTACAGAATTAGCATTGTAAAGTAAAACTGCTAAAGTAAAACTGCTTTTAAAATGTCAATGGTGGTATAAGGTTAGCTTCTGTATATTTGTAAATTTTAGTCATTGTCTGTACACATTAACAAAACATGGGGTTTGGGACTAGCATAAGAGGGAGCAACAGACCCTTCAAAATTCCCCTTTCTTTTCATATATTTCTGCTTCCTTTTGTATACATACTCATGCCTCTCTTGCGATCTGGTTTTTCATTAAGAAGTTGCTAGGCAACTGAGAGTGATGCCGTATAGATTATTTAAACTAATTAAGCATTTTGCTCTTAAAAATGTGAAAATGTCCTCATTACTCAGTATGAGACATTGTCCTTAGCCATAAAACACTTGCAAAGCAAAGCTGGGAATTTCACAGACAGTAGACTTAAAGAACTGTGCATTTTTCATTTAATTTGCAAAGTGGAAGAATAAGCATAGACATTCTTTTCAGAATAGCTAAATTAACATAAATTGCCTTTCTTCTCACTCATGAGTATCTTTAATAATAAAAGCAGGCCCATCTCTTTAGCAGCACAGTAGTTTAGATTTAGGGCTGGTCTACACTGGGGGGGGGATCGATCTAAGATACGCAAGTCGAAGTATCTAAGATCGAATTACCTGGGGCCCACATGGCGTGGGATCGACGGACGCGGCTCCCCTGTCGACTGCACTACCACCACTCGCTCTGGTGGAGTTCTGGAGTCGACTGTGAGCGCGTTCGGGGATCGATATATCGCGTCTTAACGAGACGTGATTATATCGATCCCAGATAAATCGATTGCTACCCGCCGATACAGCGGGTAGTGAAGACGTACTCTTATTTGCATTATACCTTTTCATAATCTCCTGAACTTCTTTTCCAGGTTAGCCCGGATTCTAGTTCGCCTACCAGCACTTAGACTGATGAGCTCTAGTATTACAGAGGAACTTTTTTTTACTGGCCTCATAGGAAATGTTCCGATTGACAGCATAATCCCATACATCCTCAAAATGGAAACAGCAGAGTATAATGGTCAAATAACTGGCACGTCTGCATAGTTGGAACAATGCAACTTGATGGATCAAAGTAATTTTAGTAAAACAAGTAACTACACAATTAAGAGAAATAAGTTTTTTTTAAAAAATGACATTTTGGTATGTACAAATATTTCCAACATGTTACCAGTTTCCTACCAGACTGCTCCCTGTCTATTTATTTCCAGTGACAAAGTATAAAAAGCTCTTAAAACACCTCCAACTAGGACCCTTTTCTGCCACAAGGAGTGTTTTGATGCCTTTCATTCAAAAGGCTGTAGATTACTGAACATACTTTTAACATGCTTTGTATTTAGAAATTATCAATGGGCAAAAATAGAGTTTTATAATGTCAGAGATTAGTATTAAAAATTGCTAAAAGAAGAACAGTATGTATATATTTAAAATTTTCCTTGGAATTAATATCTAATAATTACCAGGGTATAATGATGATAGCACTTTCTAAGCACTTCTTGTCAAAATGATAATGTCATCAACATTTTTGCTTATGAGCAGGGCAAATGGAAAATTGCCTATGTTTTTGGTCAAAATGCTAGTAATTTCTGTGAAGGCTATAGGAGACAATCATTTATACTACAAAAAATTGCTATTAATAATGTTATGCATTTAATGGTAAAGTGGAAATTTAAAGCAAATTTCTACACTGTTAGCACTAAACTCTGCTAAATTAGTGAAAATGAGGTTTATTTGACATAAGCATAGTAACTATAGTATAATTAGCAGCATTAATAAATGCTACAGAAATTGCCCAAATTGGAAGGCAGAATACCAGTTTCTTGCCATAGTAATAATGAAGCTTTCAGATTCCTGAAAGTTTCAATTCCAGCCTGGCATAGATGTTTACACAGTCATGATAGATGTTATTCCAACAGGACGACTTTTGGTTGTGGGGGAAATCAATCATGGGGGAAATCAGTCATTAACTGGCAGGGAAGCAATCCTTTCAAATAAAGTCATGCACTCCTAGGCTCTGTGTATACTTTTTATATTTCCAAATTCATTCCTTCTGTCTGCAGCCCTAAATTACCCTCACCTTCCTAGGAGCCAAAGGGGATGATTGTGACTTCGTTAGAGCCCATAATACTGCTGTCAGCTATGGGATAAGTGCAGAACATGAAATTCTCTTTCTTTCCCAGGGACTGAGCATCCTGTCTTTGCAGTGCTCCGTACCCCATTCTGATCCAGTTCTAAATTGGAGTGTCAGCTGGGTTTTTATATTCATTCATGTGCAGTTACAGTTAATGACGATTGTTTGGAGTTAGAATACTAACAATCTTTGTTTTTATCTTGGGTAGTAACCTATCAAGTTGTTTTATAGGATTCACCTGTTCCTGCTAATATTGCATTTATTTTAGTATAATTTATTAATATTAACACTGAACATTTTAAGCAATCAAAATTCATAAAAAAGCATTTTGTCAGAAGAGTTATAGCTGCATTAAGCTGATTCTTGCTTATTACATACATTCATTAATTACTTTAATGAATTTACATGACAGTGTCATTTTCTACTTGCATACTTGTGTGTGACAAAAATATAAATAATGAATTCAGCACTTTTTTGTTTCTGGTATTGGCATTGATTTAGAAACATTCCAACAGGGTAGGTTTTTGTCTCTAAAGGGTCTGAACTATAGCCAAAGGATTTTGAGCAACTCCTTGCTAATGTATTAGTAAGTCCTGTCTTGGTACAATTCACCCTTATTGTAAGGCTCTCATTTGTAACACTCATTCTGATAAATAAGGCTATGTAATTTTAGCTCCTAGGTACATTAAACTCAATTACAATCTCCATCTTTATAAAGTTCAGAAATCTTGGTTCTCAAGAAGAGTGGTATAGACGGAGTACAATGTAAAGGCAGACATCTGCAGTATTGCAACATCTTCTTTCTAAGCTTTTATTATAGTAAATTAAGTTGGTCATTTCTTTAAAAGTGACAAGAGACCCTATATTTTGAACATCCTTAGGCCAACTGGAATGCAGACCTAAGCCTTAGCCGTTATATTATAGTGTCACTAGTTGTAGGGTTGTGTCAGCACTTCCGATATAAAACCCCTGTTTTAAGGGTTTACTACTTGGCCTTAGAAATTAGTTGTGGCCTGAATTTTAACATACAAGGTACTTGCCTTGGAAACAGAATTTCAAAGAAAAGTTGTGGCCATTTTTGTGCAAAAGTGAATGTTAGAGGTTTACTGTTTTGCTTGTTTGTTTAAAAATATAGAGTGCACATTGAACTGTTTGGGGGGGGGGGCTAATGGCAAAAAATTAGCAGGTGATATAATTTAATCACTTGTAATGTGTAGTAAAAATAATTAAAACCGTCAAGTAAGCATTTTTAGAGGAGCATGAAATATTCATAAACAAAAAGTATAGTAAACCACTGGAAATCAACGTTTTTCCAAATTTTATTATAAACTTGAGACCATTTTCATGAAAAATGTTGTTGGACATGTACATTTCTCAAGTAAAGGGTCTCATTTGCTGGTAAAGATGAGCCCAGGTTTGAGTAAAACCTTCTCTGTTGAAAACGTGCAAAAAATAGTTTGTTTGTTTTTTCATTGTGAAAATAGCCATTTTGAAAAAGGAAACCCACATAAAACTAAGCTGTGGAGCAAAATCACATGAAACTGCTAACATTTATGCATAAGATTTCATAAATCAAAAATGGTGATTATTTTTTGCACAGCTCTGTTAACATGTATAGAATACA